CCCCAGGATAACAGCAGGTTTCCAGCTCAGCAAGTACCCGGCTGGCGGGGGCTCTGCGTGCCTGGGAGCCTTGTCTCCTCACCGCCTCTCGCACAAGCAGCTTTCTGCAGCGTGAACAGCGCAGCCCCCAGCTAGCAGGAAGGGAAATCAATGGTTCTGCAGGAGCTCACGCACCTCCGCTTGCAACAGCCAAGGGAGGAGTCATTAATTCCCCTCCTTGCTCGGTGACAGCAGCTGCTCCGCTTGCTTGCAGGCAGCTTCTGAGGAATGATGCTGGCCGGGGGGGTACTGCTCAAGGCAAGCTGCAAGGAGAAAGGTGGGAAGGTTAAATGAGAGGGTGGCGGCATCTGCGCTCTGGGGAGAGGTCGGGTCTCTCTGAACGCCCCGTGGCTGGTGCTGCCTGTCACAGATTTAGCTCCCAGTACCCTGTGCTTGTGAAGACAGCTGGAGCCAAGGTTCCCCCCCAACTGCAGTCATCTCCCTGCTACTCCTTGGCTGCAAGGACAGGGCACTGAGCATGGAGAGGCTCACAGAGATGTGGAGAGAGCAGATCTGTTTGGTAGGTAGTGTCAGCTCAGCTCTGCTCTGTGTTTTTTTCTGCCTGCAGCAACCCCAGCACCTGCCTGGAGCCCGGCAGCTCAGGACCTACACCGCGGTTTGGCGATTAAAACAAAGGAATATGCAGCAGCACTGGCTTTCGGTATCTATCAGGGGCGTGCCTTTAATCAGAGACCCTGGTGGTACACACAGGCACGCCGAGGGATGAAGAACAGATGCAATGGAGTCTGTTTTCAGATTTCCATAACAAGTGTGTGTCAGGAGCTGGCAGCTCTGAAGACATGTGGCATATGCTGGTATGTCTGTGCCGCGCCCTGCCCAGGGAGCTGTTTCTTCCGTGGGAGCTCCTCTGATGAGTTGCAGCCACCGGTCACGGACAGAGCTGCTGTCTGGGGGATGCAGAGGGAGCTCACCTTGACCCTTCCTCCCCGTGGGCTCAGAACTGCTGGCGCTGCACTGCAGCAGGCAGCCCAAGCCAGGAGCTGCCCACAGCTCAGTATGAGGCTGATCCCAGGAAAGGTGTGGAGGCAGGAGGGTGGTTACTCTCCATTCACAGTCGAGCATTTTCCTCCTGCGCCTGGCCCCGCAGCCTCAGTCCTGCAGCAGCTTGTGTTTTACAGTCGAGCTCTCTGAACAGAGGTGAATAAAGAGAGTCCCAGCTGCCACGCGAGCACGCAGCTCGCACTGATCGTAGTCATGGGCCCACTCCACGTTGCCCCACCGCTGAATCTGAGGGAGAGGAGGAACGCGAGTCAGTTCAGAACTGGATTATACATAGAGCTCCTCAGCAACTCTCAGCTTCCCTTTTCATGTTTGTGAAACACGGGTGACCCCACAGGAGCTGCACTGATGACTACAGGGGCAGGGAGATCTCCAGATGCGTACGGTGGAAGGACATGCTTCATCTGCACTGCTGTCTGAGGCAAAGCCCCTTAAACAGAGGATGGAAAAACTTTTGTCAACTTCAGCCACTTTTGGGTCAGGGAGAGCTTTACACCAGGTCAGCTTCCAGCAAGCAAGTTATTAGCTTGGTGTCTACCAAGGCCTCCAGGCTGGATAACCCGGAGCAGCTTTGCACTTCACATTAGAGAGGGAGAAAAGCAGCCATCTGGGTTCTGCAAAAAGAAACTGGCAGCGCCAGGAGCACTCTGGGCTGTTGTGCCCATGATCTTGCTCCACAGCAGTGTCCTCCAAACTCCCTCAAACAGGGAGACTGGTGGAGTGGAACCTCTCCTGCAGCAGCAGGCACTCCCCTTGCCAGTTATTTGTGGCGGGAGATGCATTTGTCACGCTGAGATTGTTGCTATTGGAATTACAGGGCTGTTTTGTAACATCGCTTACCTGGTATTCTTCCTCCAGGCGAGACAGCAGCACGGCTCTCTCTACTGTAATGTGCCTGTCAATCAGCCCCATGGACAGAATCAGGGATTTCAGCTGGGTGACAACGTATTCTATTCCTGGAAGAGAATAACCCAAACCAAACACGATACATGGTTGTTTTCTGCAGCATTACAGCAGCATCTTCACATGCTCTGAAGAGACAGTGGGTGTGTGGCACCTCCTCAGGGACAGTGACACCTCCCACTTGCAGCTGGGCACTGAATCTGCAGTTAACAACGGACACAAAGCACTGTTCTGGCCGCTGTCACCACAAGTGACAAAGGCTGTGCCTTGGAAACCACCTCCTATCATTCTGCCACAAACCTGCCCCGTGCAAAGGAAGGGACACCCAGCCAGGCCCCAGCATTCTGCAGCTCAGCTGAAAGTCCAGCGTGGGAGAGACTCACGCTGTTTGGTGCTACAAGAGCTGTCCACACCTAGAACCACGCACAGAAAATGACTGTGCAAATTGCTGTGCCCTGGGAGAACTCGGCAAAGGACACAGCTGCTCGGCTGGGCTGATGGAACAGCAGAGCTCTTTCCTGCTGCACCACCGGCTACTGCTTTGCAAGTTCAGGGGAGGAGAGCGAGTGCCTGATGGCTCAGGGACCTTAGCATGCTTTTTTCACATGCTTTTCCCTTCTGCCCTGCCTACCCGTATTGCAAACTGTGAGGAAAATAAATGATTCATCAAAAAATACCTTTACAGGTGTAATGGAAAGCCTTTGCAAGCCCTGTCCCAGGAATCCTGTCCCTGACACCTCTCGTCAGCTGCTCAGCTTGTGACTTCTGTGTGTTTTGCTCTCTGCTGCTCATTCAAGTCTTGCATTTGAGGACTCGAGCAAAGCAAACATTACTTCCTTTCTTTATCTTTAGGTGTCATTCAGCAGTCTCAGGTAAGATCAAACGGACTATAAGGGTGAAAGAGTGAGGACAGTGCACAGAGCCAGGGACACTTGGAGTACTAAACCCCATTTCTTCTCCTGTAACAAAGCTGGGGACTATGTCACTAGGAAGTGTGGTGTTAAAGAAGTTATTTTTGCTAGGGCAGAGCAGACAGCTCGCAGTCAGACCCTGAAAACCAGTGGCACTAAGGGGAGAGTCCTTGTAACAAATACAGCTAAGGACTGGCCTGGGGTTTTAAAACCTAAACCTCAACACTCTGATTATCTCAGCATATCAGGAGAGGAAAAACATTACAGTCACTCTTCTCCCCCATGGAGAGGAACCACCTCTTCTGCTGGCGCAGCCTGAGCGGAGAGTCCGCTGGCACAGCCTCGCTCACCTTGCAGGGCCCACATGTTGTAGGACGCCAGATGGCTGACGAAGGTCTCCTTGGTGCTGGCTGGGATGTTTGGCCCCAGGATGCTGGTTGAAGAGCCAATTGCCACGTTGTACCTGGAACGATCACCCAGCCCCTCAGAAAAGCACAGGGCTCGTGGACCTTGTGGCTCTGACAGCCACAAGCACTTGAGTTCCTGGCCCCAGCAGGGCAGGGCATAAGCAGACAGAAACATCTTTGACCTCTTACCTTTCCTCAGCCCAGGTGACAATGGGATCCCATTCATTCTTCTGCAGCTCTGCCAAGGCAGGTGGCTCCTCCACACGATAACTGGGACATTGCAGAACAAAACCACACTGGATGTTCGCTCCCAGGCTATCAGACTGCTCCCTGCCAGGCTGGGGCACACCCCTGGGAAGGAAGCTGCCCCCCACCAGACCACAGCAAGGGCAACAAGGGCTGTGCAGCTGCCAGTGGACTCCTCAGGGACTCGGACTGTGAGACACAAGCTTGGGCATGAACAGGCTTGATCCTTTGCTAACAATACAAGCAATCTGAGCTGCCTGTAGTGGCACAGGAGTACCGGGGACTGGGCTGACAGATTCCCCCAGATGTTCTATTTCCCCCAAGGAGATCTTCATTTCCTGCTGCTCCAGCCCCTGCCCAGTACAGAGGTGTCGAAAACAGAGTTCAACACAGGACCAGATCCCCTTTCTCCCTCATACCTGTGCCCTTTGGGTGCAGGGACCTCCGCTAGGTTTGCAAACGTAGAACTGGCTTAATCTAATTCAGACCCTTGGGCCAAAACCAGGACAGATCAGAGCCCTGCCAGGATGGTGTTATGGTGGACATTTTCCCTCATTTCCCACAACCACCCTTCCAAAAAACACACTGCGACAAGACAACCTCGCCTCTGCGCCAGCGGAGCCCCCATCTCGTACCAGACAGTGTCAGTCTCCAGGAACTTCACAGCCGCGCGGATCAGCTGCATTTTGTTTCTCTGCGTGGGATTGTCCAGTGCCGTGTTGCACAGTGTGGTCTGCGGGATAAAGGCAGTTTAAACCGTTGTTATTCAAGGCTCGGGGAAGAAGTTTTCATTGTACAAAGCCAAGAAGCAGCAGAGGAATTGGTGGCAGAGAACTGAGGAGCACAGCTCAAAGGGGTGCAGGACCAGGACATGGCTCACATCACAGGAGTCTTCTCACTGGTTTCAGAAGCCTTGGGAGAAGAACCATCAAGCACCAGGGGACTGGGCTCTCTGACTTCTCCAAAGCTCGTCCTCTTTCCTCCCGCCCCTTGCTATCCTCAGTAACACTGTCAGCTCCTTCTCAAGTCCCTCCGTGACACAGATTCCCCCCAGTCCCCCAGCCAGTGTCTAACTGCCCTCACAACCACAAGGTTCTCCCCAGTTCCCAGCCAAGGTCCCAATCTCTTGTCCCCAGTTCCATGAGCATTAGGATGACCTGCTCTCTCCACGTTCTGTTTGGAGACTTCTCATGTCTACACGGTCACCCCAGGTTTAGACCAAGCCATGCCGATTCGGCTGCAAGTACTCGGGAGAGCTGGGGGAAGCAGGACGCAGAAGGCAGCATTCTCAGGTGCCCCTGTCTCACACACCCCGACACAAGGCTTACACCCCAAAGCAGTTCTCAGCCCTTGCCCTGGAATCCAATCCTGGCAAGGACTTTGCCAGCTGGCAGTGGCCTGGCAAACCCATCTCTAGCCCTGGTATTTAACCATTCCCTGTCGTTAATCCCGACTTCCTTGACCTGACGGCTCCCAGCACAGAGCGTTCTGCCCCGCTGAGGTCTCGGCGTCCCAACCTGCCGTGCTCACCAGGTGCATAGTGTAGAACTTGATGGTGTCTCTCTGGGAGTCCCACTCTGTTGCCACTGCGATGGCCAAGGCCTCACTGGGGACAGCAAAGAGCTTGGCCTGGGGCGTCTTCAGCTTCCGGTGGTCCAGGTTTATTTCAAAGCCTCCTGGGGAATCAGAGTAGAAATCCTGGGGAATCAAAGAGGAGCAGGCACTAAGGAACAACAGATGACCCCACAGCGGGAGCAGATTCTGAGCTGGAGCTGACAGGAGCAAGGGACCAGGAATACTTGAATGTCCCACCATCATAATCGTTTGGATACACTCTCCCCTGAACAGTCGTGGAAGCTGTTTCCCACCACGTGGCTTCACTAGGGCACAGCAGGCTGGTGACAAATACCCCACTCGCACAGCCTGGGTTGCGAGCGTGTCATATCTAGCTGAAGCAGTGTGGGGTGATAATACCCCTCCTGGGGACCAGCCACTCCGTCCTGTCCCAGCAGCCGTACTCACCTTCTCCTTGTGAGATGCTCACGTTCTGGTAAAACCGCTTCCTCTCTGGGGACAAAAACAGCCATTCAGAAAGCAGCTAGAGGAGGTTTGGCCACTTCCCCTGCTCCCCATCACAGCCCAGAACAGACAGAGCCCTTGGTGCTGTCAAGGTGGCCTGGCCACACCAATCCTGCCCATTCCTCCACAGCTTCCAAGCACCACACCATTTCAGTGAGCTCCAGTCAACTGGGGAAGCACCATGAAATTGGTGAAAAACCACAATATTGCTGTGCACAACTGGAAAGATAACGGGACCAGCTGGACTTTGCTTCCACCAGCCCAGGCTGGGCTCTCAGCTCCCTTTGAACCGGCCTGCACTGAGTTTCTACAGAGCCTGGCAGGGGCAGTGTCCAAAGCAGACCTGTCCCAGTGCTCCTTCCTCGCCTCTTAGATGAGTTTCACTGTGGGCTCAGTCTTCCAAGATTTTCCCACTGCAACCACATCCAAATAATCCCTGAACTACCTTGCCTAACCCTCTCTCTGCTTGCTCTCGGAGCAAAGAGAAATCCAGCAGAGCTGGGTTAGAGGCAGGACATGCCACAGCAGCCTCCCTGTCCACCCCCATCGATGACAAACCCCCCCAGTGCCAGCCCACACACCCTCCCTTGGTGCTTCCAGCTCATCCTCTCCTTTGACCTGCAGCCAGTGCACCCGCTGGAAGAACCACAGCTCCCGGCAGGTTCCAAGCATGCAGGGGCAAGGACGCTGTTGCCTCCGCCGCGACCGCCCACGGTGGCAGGTTTATTGCAGGCAGAGGCGGCAACGGCTGGACGGTGTTGGGGACACGTCGCACACACTGCAGCATGAGTCACCCGGAGAGGAACCACCTCCTGTGGTCGCCTCCAGCTCACACGTCCCGTTCCAGCTCGGGAGTCCGCCTGCTCCACTAGCAAGGTGAGCCTGAGGGAACTGCAGGGTTCTGTTTTAAGAGCAGCCTCCTTTCCTACCAGCACTGTTTCACGCAATCCCAACAGCCGCATTACACGTGGTGCAAAAGCTCGTATCTCTCACACAAGGCAGGAAGAATCTCCAAGCCGTTCCCCTGACGACAGCAACCAGATCATAAATCCTGAACCCATAAATCCACCTCCTGCAGGGTGAAGCAAACAGGCCAGGCTGCAGGGCTCTTCTTCTGGTCTAAAAAAAGCACATTGCCGCTGGGGAAATGGAAGAAGATTTGCTCAGGCTGGGTGACCTGCAAGCTTTGGGGCCTCAGCTGAGGCACAGTTCTGAGAGGATTAACGTGTACGTATCCCATAGCAGTCCTGAGTCATGTCAGCAGGCTCTGGACACCCCGTGATGAGTCACCGCGACTCTGCAGCCTCACCTCTGACAGAATGAGACTAATTACGCTGTCCTCAAACCCACTAATTTCCAGCAAAATCCATGGAGGGGACACATGGCCCAGAACGTGCCTGAACCACCCCAGCTAGGTCCCATCCCCCTAAAATCCCTGAAAACCACCAAAACACAACAGGCAACGGCTCCAGA